AAACAAACAAAAAAAAACAGTTAAGATAGTGATACTACTAATTTCTTAGTTCGCTCAAAAGAAAGCTTTGGTTAATACTGTTTGGACAATTAAATGCTACTATCTTCTACTCTGCAACTAATTTAAAGATAACACAATAAATTTCAAAACAAGATAACAGGATAACAGTGAAATTTATTTTTTCTCTTTAAAATTAAAAAAAAAATCTGAGCAACTTTTAGCTCTTAATAAATAGTACATATGAAAATCATTATGGAAGTGCTTAACAAGGCTGCTTAACAAATAGGTATACCTTGGCCTTACCACAGATGTATTTATAAAGAATTAAATGTCCTAAGGGGGAGCAAACACAGACTGATAAATACTTTTAAATTCTCCACTGAATTCTGAAATGAACACGAGTTTAGTGTGTTAAAGGACTCAATATTCAACTCCTGAATCTGAACAGAAACAGTGAGTAAATCTCTGAAATAGGAAAACAAAATCCAAATCAGAAAAAAGAAAAAAAAAAAAAAAACAACCCTGCTTCCAAGTTTTTCATGCTCGGTAACATAGAACAACCAAGTGGAGTGTACCTAGACACACAAGGTGATCATACAAAACTCAATGTAAGGAACCTTAGCCAGAGCCAAAATCGTGTACATGCCTCCGCCTCCAGAAGGTGGAGCTAAGTCCCTTCCCTTGCCCCTTGGAGGGCAGCCTAGACTTAGAAAACTTGCCCAAGATCAGACTAAGGCAAGGACCTGCACTATGAAACACGGGTAACAGGAGCCCGGGGGAGGACGACAGGAGAAGGGCGCTGCAGCTCTGGGGTAGACTTGCCAAAAGCCTCAGTGCAGCCCAACTGTAAGAAAAGTCCAGCCTGCCCGGAAGGTAGACCACAGGACACCCGGAAGGCTGCAGACTAACAAGAAACCTGAGAACAGAAGAGAGACATGACAACCACATGGTAAGCTGGATTTGATCCCAGCCCAGGAGGACACTAGTGGAAAAACTGGCAAAATAGAAATAGTTGGGATTATAATTGTCAAAAAGTTTATTTAATTCATACTAATAAAATAAGGGATAAAAACATTATCTTAATATATATGGAAAAGGTATTGACAAAATTCACCCATTTTTTAAAAATCTCAGCTGATTACAAAACTTCCAGATAGCGTATTTAAGGATGAAATTTTTACTGAGTATCTTTCCCCATAAAAAAAAAAGTGGTAGCCACCTCCCTCTTGGCACCATGGCAGCCCTCAGACTCCTCGTGAAGCCCAAGATCATCAAAAAGAGGACCAAGAAGTTCATCCAGCACCAGTCAGACCGATATGTCAAAATTAAGCGCAGCTGGTGGAAACCCAGAGGCATCAACAACAGGGTGCGGAGGAGGTTCAAAGGCCAGATCCTGATGCCCAACATAGGTTATGGAAGTAACAAAAAGACAAAGCACATGCTGCCCAGTGGCTTCCGGAAGTTCCTGGTGCACAATGTGAAGGAGCTGGAGGTGCTGCTGATGTGCAACAAGTCTTACTGTGCAGAGATTGCTCACAACGTCTCCTCTAAGAACCACAAGGCCATCGTGGAAAGAGCAGCCCAGCTAGCCATCTGAGTCACCAATCCCAATGCCAGGCTGCACAGTGAAGAAAACGAGTAGATGGCCTGTGTGCGTGTTTGTGTTTCAGTAAAATCACAAAAAAATGCAAAAAACAAACAAAAAGACAAGAAAGTTGTCCCACTGGTGCACAGCACTTGCACTGGAGGTCAGTAAGGCAGGAGAAGGCAAGGATGGAAGAAGGGAAAGGAGAAGGGCACAATTAGAATTATTAGATTATAAATGATTAAAATGTCTTTTATTAACAGGCAATAGAATACTTAAGAGGTTAGTTTTCCCCAATTTGATCTAAAGATACAATTCCTTCTCTATCAAAACTCCAACCAGATTTTTTTTCAGGAAATTATTTCTTTACAAGTGCACACACACTCCAATTAGATTTTTTGGTATAAACAAATACATTCCAGAATTTACATGGAAATGCAACGAACTGAGGATATCTAAAATACTCCTTGAAAGGGAAAGAATAATGTTACACCCATCATACTTCTCAACACTGAAAGCCCAAAGTAATTATCTTTTCAGCTGATTAATAGTGAATTTAAGAAAACAAGCTTAAAATACGTGCTGCTAGGGGAAAAAGAAACACACGTGGCTCCAAGTAAGAACTAGTGCAGCCCTGCGAGTGGGTTGGGGGAAGCTCTGTGATGGGAGTGCTTGCCTAAGAGATCTGAGATCCTGGGTTTCATCCCCTAGCACACCACACACACACCCCGAGCAAAAAACACTACAGAAAAATTAAGAGTCAACTTAAGAACAAGCAACATAAACCAAATCAACAACCAAAGAAAAAAGATAGAGGTAACTTCTTTAAAATACTAATTATTAAGGGGCTGGGGAGATGGCTCAGTGGAATAAGCGCTTCCCTGGCAACCGCAAGGATCTGAGTTCAATCCCTGGTTCCGCAAAAAAAAATACTAATTATTAAACTTAACATTAAGTTATAAGGCATATTGTTTAAAAAGAAAGACAACACTTCCAGGTGAGCGATAACAGCAGCAAGAAACCACCAGAGTTCAACCCATATTGCCTGTAATTCTTCGTCTTCGAAAAGAAAAGCACCAAAAAAAAAAAAAAAAAGAAGAAGAAGAAAAGCACCAAATTTTAGCCACCTTCTACTTCCTTTTCATATTTTAAAGGAAAAAATTCCTTTACTGTCAGCTAAATTTTAATAGCAAATATTTTTAAAGTCAGAAGTACTATCATGGGATTGGGGAGATGGCTTAGTAGAAGAAGCCCTTGCCTGGCAAGCGCAAGGGCCTGAGTTCAATCCCCAGTTCCGCCAAAATAAAATGCAAATAAAGAAGTACTATCATATGTAAACTAAGTGATCATGCCAATTACACTGCCAGTTGGGTTGACTCCTGTGATGGGTCATCTCCCCACCTTTTTAATGTCTTCAGCTTTGACTTGGTTCCCTGGCCTAGACACACTCCTCGACACTGGCAGATCTGGGAGGGCAGTGCCTGCACTAGTCATCTCTCTTTTCTTCACACTTCAAGTTTTTTAAACAGTAACAGAGACAGAATGCACAAAAAGAAAATTCGAAGTTAGTATGTGGGAGTGGAAAAGAGTATGTCCAGGAAATGTTCCTGTGTGGATCCAAGGTTACAAGTTCAGATTGAGGCCTTGTGGATGGGGAAGAGGACAGGTAATCAAAATACTTTGTGGGCCGAATTTCTAAAGCCTCAGGGTAACGCCTGAAGAAAATAAAGGGCTGGGCCAGCAAACATCAATTTTCAAGCTCTCAAATAACCAGAAGAGCTGGGGAGATAAGCTCAGCGATCTAAGCTCCTTCCTGGCAAGTGCAAGGATCCGGGTTCAGTCCCTAGTCCCACATGCCATGCCACCCCAGTGTGGGCAGCTGAAAATGGGCCTGGTGTCGCACACCTGTAATCGGGGGGGGGGGGCTGAAACAGGAGGATAACTACGAGTCCAAACTGCGTAGAGAGACCCTGTATTCAATAAATAAATAAATAAATAAATAAATAAATAAATGTGTGTGTGTGTATAAAAACAAGCAGCATTAAAGAAAATGTGGGGGGGAGAGAAAAACACTAAAAATGTTTAAGAAAATCAGTAAAAACCTCAACTACGGAACAGTTTTGTGGCCTACACAACTTGGCCATGGCCAACACTGGGTGACAAGTGAGCTATAACATACTGCAGGCCCACCCAGATCTGTCCATCTGTGAGACGTCTTTAGAGGCGACCTCTTCCTCACAAGACCCAGGGAGCTCCTGGCTGTCTGAGATGCTCTGGGGAGCCATCTCTTTTTCTTCTGCACCACAGGAATTGTAGGAGTCACTTCCAGGTCCTCGTCTCGGTCCAAGAAGCCAGTATTTGTAATCCCAAAGTTATTTATTGGAATCCCATCAAGTTAATTCCAATCTACCATTCTCAGTGCAACCCACGGTAAACACACTAAAACATATTTATAATTATTGGGGAGCCAAAGGGCCCTAAGTCCAGCCATGAAGATGGCTTTCCACAACCAAGAGGCTGACCCAGGGCCTCACGCGGTTTTATTCAGTGGGGGAGTAGCTTGAGGAGGAATGACTGAGAATTGTGGGAAGTAGGTGACTACTGTGAGCTGAACTAGGGGGGTGGCCTGCATTTACCTCTGCCATATGCAGAGAGGATATGCAGAGACAGTAATCTGCTTTATGCTACTGAGCTAGTATCTAATGTTTTGGGGGGGTCTGGTGCTTCAGCTTTGATGCAGTCTTCCAAGCCCCAGGAAGTCATAGCCTCTATCTCGAGGCTCTATCCCAGCCGGTGGCACGGAGCTTTAGCTCTACCATCCTGTACTAGGGAAACACGCATACCACCTTCAAAGACTATCACCAGCGCCTCAGCTAGACCAATACATATTGCTTAAGGCCAACTGAAGGATAAACAGAAGTCCCAGCCAGCTCTGTATGTAACAATATGAGGAAATAGGGTCAGGCTAGTCAAAATGGAGACAGTCGCTCTTCTTTCAAGGAGAGCTGCTCAGGTGGTCCTCCACAGGAATTTGCAAGCATCTTTCTAAGTCCCATGAAGTCAGAAATCAAGCCCTATCCTCTTTGTTTCCTCAACACTTAAAAGGGTATCTATACATTGGAAACCTAAAATATTTGAGTTAATATTCCTAGTTAATAAACACTAACCTATATACCACATTAAGATAACCCCCAAAACCATTTAAAACAGTAACACCCAAAAGGCACACACTACCTGGAAGCCAGTACATCTGAACCCACTTTGCTGCAAGTCTAGGAAGTTGGAATTTTTTACTACACTCATCATTCAAAAAGATGTCTCAACTTATCACTAATGCTAAAAAGATGCCAATTTTAAAGCTGGAGGGAAAACCAGCAATTTTTTTTTTTACTCTTTTTAAAAGTTGAACAAATACCTCTTCAGTCTCAGGAACAACATGGGAACCAGTAATCTCATCTAATCCATCTTCAGCAACACATTCTTCCTGCTCTTGCAGCCCTTGTTGCCCACCATAAGCCTGCAAGTACTCTTCATCCTAACGACCATTAAAGAGAAGACAAGTTTTTCTCACACAGCTTTTTAAGTACTTTTCATCTTTACAGATCATGCTCGTAGCAAGTTTTACCATAGCAACTAACAGACTGCGCACAGGCACTAAGCGCCACCTCTACACACTCAGGAACTAAGCACAGCATGCTCGGGCTAGTTCCCCAGGGCCAGGGCCCTGTCCAAAGCAGCTCTTCTCCAGGTCACCTCCAGGAAAGCAGAAGAAAGCATGCTCATTCTCAGAGGGGCTTGGTAGCAGGAAGGACTGAAATTATTACCAGTTCTCACCAGTTTTAAGGCAATGAAAGCACACTAGGGACAATTCCATCAACTCAATATAGCTGGTTCTTACAAAGAACCATTATAGGTGTTTGTGTCCCAGGCCCCTCCCCTGGGTGACAAGTTCTTTGTGAAACTTAAGAGTTATACCAACAAACAGGCTTCCCTTCTGTGCTCACGCAAGCAAGCAAGAGAGCTGGTTGGAGATCTCCAATCTGCTGAAGAAAGCAGGGCTGCTCCTGGTACTATGAGTGAGCAAGTAGTAATCCCGCTCGGCGAGGCAGGCTTCCCAGCATTCCCAGACATGTGGCAAAAACGAGCAGTCAAGCAATTACAGAGCACGTATCCCAGCAGAGCACACAGCCTACAGAGCTAACAGCCCGCTGTGTGGGGCATGGCCATCTACCTGCACACCAATGAAAGCAGCTGGGCAAAACACCTCAGGTTCCACACCTGCCTTGCCTCAACGCAATACAAACACACTGCCTGCTACTGTGCCCAAGAGCTGTCAGCAACCCTAAAAATCCAATTCCAGTCTTTGACTCACTAGCAGCAGAACAGTCAAATTTCAAAGGCAGTCAGAAAGGCTTATCAAAACCTCCGCAAATATACTCGCAAACATACTCGGGCGTACCAGTCTACACCACTAGGCTCTCACCAGGAAACGGCAGCCTGCTACCCTTTAAAGTGTCAATCTGAAAGGGCTTTTATGACTCAGAGTTTCATGAACTCTCAATGTATGTTCATTTTTATAGCCCTGCGCACAGTGATGGCATGTAAAAATATCACCAACAAGTAACTTTCTAATATTTTCTAACTAAGTAATATATAGACCTTGTTATAAGAGGATACGTTTTAAAATAACAATTTACTCTCAGGAGTAGGACCTGCCAAACTCAGACTTAAGGATCTTTTAGTTTGAAATGTAACAGGAAAGCAGGCCAGAGCACTGCTGTCAGCTCTTCCGGTAGCTGACCTCCGCTTTTCTTCACAGGCAAGCACGACAGCCAAACAAATACAAGGCAGGACCCAGGCTCCAGGCTTCTTAGGGCTGAGTAATATTTGTGTGCCTAGTGCTCGGACATCAGTAAAGACAGATCACACCACTGAATTCACTCAAAGATTATTAACTTACATTATTTCACTGATGTACAGGACAAATCATGCTCCAGGAAATACCTCGGTACTGTTTTCGAAGATCTTGATTTAATCTTTAACAAGGATTTTAAATATACCACTTTAAGAAAGTATACAAACACCAAAAAGCACGTCTCCACCTAGTGAAGATGCCAGTATTAGGCTCCAGAGATGAGCTCCACAAGGCTGCTGCAGTACTCTACTTACCAAACCACAAATATCTTTTCATTACTTTATCAACTCAAAATCACGTATTCAGAAAGAATCCAATCTTTAACTACTGAGACATCCAAGCACACTCATGACTGTAATTAAATATCATAAGGTTCTACATAAAACATTCTTCCAAGAACACACACACACACACACACACACACACTCCCGACCAACATTCAGCAATCTTCAAATGTTTTCCTCAAATGGACACACATTCTGAACGAAGCTATGAAGAGATAAAGAGCCACTCCTGCACAAGTTGGGCTCCCCAGTGGTGCCACCACTCCAAATCCATTTCCACTCTGCTTCACTGGATACTGGTGCTCTAAAAGCCCTAATGTCTACACAACAGCTGGAATCAAGCCTTCCTGCAGGAATATCACTCAGTGCTTAGTTCAAACAACACTTCTCTCATAACAAATGAGCAATCTTATTTGTTCTTCCTTATGGTTCAACATTACAAAGGAAAAAAGAAAATACTACCTACCAAAACAATTTTTCCAAAACAAAAATTAGTACAATCTTTGCTGCCCGATTACAGATAACAAAATTATGTGTGACATTTGTGAAACTAACCTCCAATCTCTTTATTCAGGTTTAGACAGTTCTCAGTTACAAAAAGGATGAATGAACAGGACATCAATCACTTTCGAATATTAGCACCTTAAAGATGTCTTTAGCAGGTCAATAATCTTTTCACCTTAGAAGGACTTTATCAGATCTTGTCTAAAGCCTGGATAAAAGCCCTGCATTAAGTACTTCTAACAATTGACAGCCGTTCTCCACCACACAAAGCTGTTTTCTTCCTTAGGGTGCAATCCTCAAGGTCACCATTATTTGAAGCCTTCCAGAATGACAAAGGAGCATTACCTCTGGCCAAACAAGCTGTCAACATAAACTTTGTCATTGCTCAGATAAAGAAACTGGCAGACAGTGATAATAAGGTCTAATTTCCCTCCTTCCCGAGGGAGGTAAATAGATTTCAAATCAGTCTAGAAACCTGTGCACAGGAAGCCATGTTATCTCTAGCCATACAAAGAAGAAAAGACTCACTGTAAATTCATCTAAAGGCTCATTGATTTCGATGTCCAGCACTTCATCACTGTAGAGCTGCTCCTCCTCCGGCTCTTCCCCATACTCTATTTGATCTTCTGTCAACTCTGTATCGTGGCCTTCGTACTGTCCTTCCTCTGGGTACTCCTGCGTATACAACTCAGGACCATCAGATTTGTGGTACGCTAGCTCATCCTCTCCTTGTTCATATTCAGATTCCTGCTCTCCAGACTGGTCATTAGTGTTGTCAGAAAGTTCAAACGATGTGACCATACCAGATGTTGTATTGAGACTGACAGTGACATCCTGAGAACTGGAGAAGACAGAAATACAAAGAGAGACACACTGAACACGGAGCTCAACATGAAATCACTTTTTGGCATACTACTGTAAACATGTTCTAACAAGACTTGAACTATGGCTGGCAAAGTTATGCCAGCCTTACTCCAACAAGGCTCGAAGCGCAACGCTGGGCGGGAGCCACAAGCGCAGATGCAGAGCCAGCGAGCTGGGCGAGTTGGTGCCCTAGACTGGTGCCCTAGACTCGCAATGAGAACAGAGCCTGTGCAGCGCTCCCAGGGAAGCTTCTGACCAAGAATCCTCAGTCCAGAAGGAAGCAGCAGGTCTGACTGCAGAATCTAAGACGGAAATCAAGCACTTTATATTTTCTTCTAATCCACAGAATGAATGGACAGACTGTGTTGCTAGGAATGCACCGTAAACACAAGAGTATTGCTCCATAAGCAGAAAATCATAACTGGAATGTTATTAATCTACCTAATGTAAATTTATATTCCTATTTATAAGAAAATAAAAATATTAAAAACCTATATGGAAACACACTTGATTGTTGAAATAACTTACAATGCATACTAGTTGCAAGTGTCTTTAAAAAACAGTTGGCAATTTCCAAGTAAAATACAGGTTTTTCACACGTCAAAAAAATCATATCCTATGTCATAATAGCTAAATACCAAACAAACAGATGTAAGGTAACATTTCAAATGCAAGATGGTGCAAATAAATCTATGTTCACACATATTAAGTAGCCAATCTCAACAAAAAATTGAATATATAACAGACTTCAAAACACCAGCTTTAATAAGTGGGGTTTTTTGCAGAACCCAGGATTGAACTGAGGCCCTTGGGCTTGTAAGGCAAGCTCTTATTCTACTGAGCCATCTCCTTGAACCCCAACAAATTTATGACAAGACAAGACTATACAACATGTATTTATTTACATTTACAACCAAGAAGTATTATATATTTTGCCAATGTTTCTTCACAAAATAGAAAAAACATTTCCACCTGCCAGAGTATTATACTAAATATCTCTCTCCAAAATAGTAATTTAACATAAAAATATGTATCAATAAAAATTGTCTAAACAGAAACAAAAGTATAAACATCAACCTGGTGCAAGAGTCTAAGGTAACTATCACTGTCCTTCATCTAACCAAAGCAATTCTTCAAAGGGCAATGTAAGAACAATACTGAGTTGTTATGACCTACACTAACTGAAGTGAAAGCCATCAAACGCAAGGCCTATTCTGATTTTAAGCAGTAGATCTATTTCCATTGCAACGCATATGGATTCTATATCAGAATACACAATAAGCCATTTAGAATGTAATCAAATGCTAAAGATACAACAGCACATTATTTAATTACAACTGTTAATTATAACTTACAAACAGATCCTATTAAAGAACACTTTTAATGAATTAATATTCAGTACCTGAAATTTTCTTCATCTTCATTATCACTCTGTAAAAGGTCATCATTCAGCTCTTCATCTGACAAATCTGACTGATTCTAATTAAAATAAATTTAATTAGTGCCTGTCACTTTCAAAAAAAAAAAACATGTTAAAGGTATAAAGTTATGTTAAATGGACTATTTAAAGCCTTAAGCTATTAAAAATTTGCCATCCAACATTTCTCAGTTTGATGTTACTATGGACAATCAAGAATACCACACAGAGGGGCTGGGGAGATGGCTCAGTAGAATAAGTGCTTGCCTGGCAAGCACAGAGACCTGAGTTCAATCCCCAGCTCTGCCAAACAAACAAACAAACAACAACAAAAAAAAAAAAGATTCCACTCTGAGGAATCTAAAGGAAGAACACCACACAGTGTCCTTAATTTTTAGATGCTACATTTGCGGAAGTACGGAAGTGGTTAAGTGTAATGGTCAGTTTTATTCTAATTCTAACACAAAATGAAAAAGGGTGGGAAATTCTTGAGTGGAGACTTCCAAACAATTGTTCCTTACCATACACACATAAAAAGTGGTTATATTCCAGATATGACTAACTTAGACACATCAGCATCTAAAATCTGAAGACACTTACAGACATGTGGAAATAACACTCTGGAGACCGGCAGTTTTTAAGATAGGCTAATCACCCAACTGAAACGGTAGGGGGCCCTTGACCACGGAAGATCACATGTGAAAGTAAATGCTACAAGCGCTCTCTGGGTCCTAGTCAGTGCTGTGAACACATCCCGCCAGCAAGCAGGGAAGTCACTGATTTAGTAAATAGTTCTAAGTTGTGTTAGATTAACTACATTCCAATTTTTGACTGCAGAGTAAAATCTCACTTCCCTCACCTATTATTAATATGTACTGGGCCAGGGAGATAGCTCAGCGGTCTCAGTACCCGCCTGGCAAGCACAAGGACCAGAGTTTAATCCCCAGTACAGCATGCAGTGCCAGTCCCAAAACCCCAGACACACCATGCCAGCCCCAAAGCCAGGCGTAACGGCGCACACCTGTAATTCCAGGACTGAGGAGGCTGAGATAGGAAGATCACTACGAGTCTGAACTGCGTAGTGAGACCCTGTACCAAATAAATATTTTTTAAAAAATAAAATTATTACTATGAATAAAAGGCATATATAAATTACTAGTCCTCCTCCGAAAGTCAAAGTCACATATATACTTACACATAATTTATTTTATAAAAAGTAAAGATTGCAAAATTAACTTTTCTACTTATTCTGTATCTTACAAAACTAAGACTTTCAAATTTGACTGTCTCTTTCTCTTTATTATAGTATTTTTGATAGCCAAACATAACCACCTACCTATCTATATACTTTCTTCAAGACCACACTTATCAATGGAATTGATACATAAACTTTTTCTTTCTAGTCAGTGGTGAAGATAGAACCCTGGGCCTGGCACATGCTAGTTAAGCCTCTAATACTGAGCTACAGACCTAGTCCTTTATTTAAACTTGTCAAAAAAGAAAAAGAAAAAAAAAAAGGGACCCAATGAATACTAGGTGAGGAAAGTGAGATTTTACTCTTCAGTCTAAAATACTAGAATATGTTTAGTAAACATGTAATAATTTCTAAGTAGCCACCCTTTCTTGTGCCCTCAGCCTTCAGCTGTTGAGCTGGAGGAAAGTGGCGCAGTTCACAGCCAGGCCACAGGTAATGCAACCGTCAGTAAACAGCAGAACACAGAAACTCACCTGAAAGAAATCTAAGCCAAATTCACGTATTAGAGAAAATGCTAATAAGCAACATAGCAAGTTACAAGAGAACTGCACAACTGGTACTTCTACTACAAGATCTTAACAACATTATGAAAAAGGTTAAAAGGGCCAGGTAATCAGATGTGATAATCTAGATAAAAAATATGAATCTATCACACAATTTGAAATATGTATACCACTAATATGATCAATAAATCTTAATCTAAAAGTCTAACAAACTTTAGGGTAACTGATGAAAGAAGTTACCACTAATTTTAGTATTTTTAAAAACTAAGCATAAGGAACTATATTGATATTACAAAAGGACAGCAAGTATTAAGTTGTTAATGCATAAATTTCATTTTTATCTTTTGCTTTGAATTTCCACTCACATATTTATGCTAAAATATATAGAGTATTATATAGAGACTAAAGATAATTGCTTCAAAGTTTTTACTTCATCAAAAAGTTTATAAATACCTACATGATAACCTTTAATCTTACTTAATTGAATGCTTGTTACATTTCAGTGTGGTTTTCTGTTTTTGTTTTGTTTTTTCATGTACTTAGTCAGGGGTCTCACTACGCAGCTCAGCCCCACAGTGATCCTCCTGTTTTCCGCTCCCCAGCACTGGGATTACAGGAGTGTGCCACACACTCAGTGTCACGGCGGCTCAGCACGCCTGCGGTAGGGCTGCCACAGCATGTGGTGCAGGGGCTCAAACCCCAGTCCCTGTGTTTGCCTAAGCAAATATTTAGTCCGTTGAGCTATCTTGCCAGTCCTGCTTCTTATATTTAAGTATGTTTATCTTGAAGCTAATGTATGAATATTCCCATAAAGTAGTTTTCAGAACTAGTACAAAAGACATTAACTTACAAATTTTATATTCCCTTAAGGAGAAGGAAAGCTCTGTATTACTCAGGTCCCAAATTCAGCATGTGCTAGGATGCTTTGGACCTACTGTGAACTAAAATATCTGCTTTAAAGAATTTGCTGTCTGAGGTACAATTACCAGAGAATTTACTAATATAGTATCAGCTCTGTGATGTAAAAAATAATTCAGGGCTGGGGCAGTAACTCAATGTTTAGCATGAAAAGTCCTGGTTTTATTTAACAGAAACAAAATATAAAGAAAATTCAGGGCCAGGGAGATAGCTCAGTAGAATAGGCACTTGCCTGGCAAGCACAAGGGCCTGTGTTCAATCCTCGGTTCTGCGAAAGAAAATTCAGTCTGCAAAATGTTTACGTATACCACTTTTCCAGTCATGCATGCCACGCATTAGCAATGCACTCCTCTATTTTAAGGAACATTAAATAGATCCTGTTTTGTTTCAGAAATACATGTATTGGGCAGAGCTGCATAGTGAGACCCCACACCAAGTATGTTTCAAAGATAGAAAGAGAGAAAAAAAAAAGGGAAAAGAAAAGAAATACATGCATTTCTTACCTTTTTGCCAGACAGCAAATCTTCTCCAAGTAAGTCATCTTCAAGTTCACTGAGAAGAAGAAAAAAAAGATCAAAGTATTATTTCTGTAACATTGGAAATTGTGTCGGTTACCTGGAATTTTTAACGGGCTCTGGAGCTTGGAGACTTTCATGTGAAATGTGTTATACTTTATTAATAATGAAATGGTATTTTTAAATACAGAGAAAACATTCTTTTAGGTAAGAAAAGGCAAGATACAAGAAGTGGCTGACTAAACGTAAATTTTACAATTTAATAGCAAATCTGAATCTCTTACCAGTTAAAAGAAGTAAAACAAGACCACTATATTAGAAATAATATCTAAACTTTCTATCTTTAAGAACTTAGGGTGGCACTGCCGCGGTACTGCTCGCCTAGCCGGCCGCAGCTCAGGTCTCCCCGCCACCCTGGCCATGGCCGCGCTGCTCCCGGCACCCGTGCCTCTGCGCCCCGGGGCCGCCGCTGAGACTCAGGGCCGCGGCCGCCTGCCCGCCCGAGATGCTCCCCAAGGCCGCCGCTGCTCCTGCGGGGTGACAGCTTCCCCGTCACCCGCACACATCCGGCCCCTCCGTCCAGTCTTGGATGCCCAGAGCCGTCAGCAGCCACAAGAGGAGGCCATGAGGGGAAACCTTCCTGGGTTACTATGCGCTTGTGACTGATCCCTTGGTTTTTCATCATCCTGAACTTCATGGAGCACAGCGGCAGCCAGCAAGCTGCCCGCGGAGGGCGGCAGCGCAGGATGCACCCCAACGTCAGCCAAGGCTGTCAAGGAGGCTGTGCAACATGTTCTGATTACAATGGGTGTCTCTCATGTAAGCCCCGACTGCTTTTTGTTCTGGAAAGAATTAGCATGAAGCAAATAGGAGTGTGTTTCTCTTCATGCCCAAGTGGATATTATGGAACTCGATATCCAGATATAAATAAGTGTACAAAATGTAAAGCTGACTGTGATACCTGCTTCAACAAAAATTTCTGCACAAAGTATAAAAGTGGATTTTACTTGCACCTTGGGAAGTGCCTTGACAGTTGCCCAGAAGGGCTGGAAGCCAATAACCACACCATGGCGTACATCAGCATTGTGCGCTGCGAGGCTGGAGAGTGGAGTCCTTGGGGTCCGTGCACAAAGAAGGGGAAAACATGCGGCTTCAAAAGAGGGACTGAGACCCAAGTCCGAGAAATAATTCAGCACCCTTTGGCAAAAGGGAGCCTGTGTCCTCCTACCACTGAGACAAAGAAGTGCACAGTGCAGAGGAAGAAGTGTCAGAAGGGAGAGGAGGAAAAAAGGAAGAGAGAGGAAAAGAAAAAACTGAATAAAGAAGAAAGTAAAGAAGCAATTCC